TTGTCTGAGGAGTTTGTAAATTTTGGCGATATATGGGAGAATCAAGCTTTATAAACTGTAGCTGTCTGCTGTTTCTTAATGAGCTGAAACTACCTATGAACCCCCCTCTTCCTACCCCTTTGAGGGGCCGTTGATGTTGCTAAGGCCCAATGTGTTAGAATGGTTGTTTTGATTAGATGCAGGAGGGTGTGACCTAGACTGAAACGTTTTTGACATCGACGGCTCATCAGGCGTATGGTTGCGGGGTATTCATATGTAGTTTCAGCTCTTTAAGAAACAAATGACAGCGACAGATTATAAGCTTGACCCTTCCAGTCAGAACTGACAAAGCTTCTTTGATAAGAAGCAAAACATCTTCAAAAAACCAATTAACTCCACCTGCCTTCATTCGAAATCTTTGAATTACATTGTGACCCATCACAACTTTTTTGCTCTTTTCATGCTTTATTTGTATTTGTTGACATCCTTTGCACATTTCCCAACAGGATTTTGACTGGATTTACTCAGAGTAGCACTACAGATTCTGTTTTTAATTTTAATTACTAATTAGCCCTTCTTCCAAGTCAAAAGCAGCTCAGAACTAATCAGTGATGTGGTCATTAGTGAGCAAACCGTTCGTCTTCATCTCTTTTGTATTCTCATAATGTCAGGTAGTATTGGTTAAATTGGTTAAATTCTGTTTTAAAGTCTAACAACTTTCATGTGACTCAACTGGATTAATGAGTATTTCAAAGATACTTATTTCCCTAAAGGTATAAAATGAAACACTTTTTTACATATTAAGAGATCATTGTCCTATTAAGGATCTGAGCATCACAAAAGCCATTAGGAACAAGCTTAACCTCACTTCTCAAACCTAATTAGCTTTTCAGGGACTTTGTTCACAGTTTTCACTAGAAAAGACATAAAGCCACCAAATGATGTGAAAACAAAAAATTTTCCAGAGGCAAGAGAAGCATTTCACTGGTAGAGGAAATAATGAATTTAATTAAACTGTTGCCATTTAATACTTAAAACATCATACCTGTCAAAAATAAGCACATTTTTGTCATAAAAATGTGCCTTTATATTATGTGAAATGGCGCACATCGAACTGGATCAGAACACAACTTTTATCCCTTCATAGACCCATTTAATTTTTTGCAGTTGGGTACTCATGGTCTGGAAGTAGAGGGGCACGACTTTGGCTCTCCATGAAATAGATCTGTGTGGCTTTTCCTGACCCAAATGTTTCTCCATCTATTATCTTCAAGAGACTAATGCAGGAAATAGGGGTGGAAGATTATTTTCATGTTCTGCATTCATGTGAATGTCAGAGTGACCAATCGTACAAGTCAAAAATGGTTTCTCTGTGAACATCACCTTTAAAGGGATACTTAGCGACTTTTTCATAATTTTAAATTATTGTCTTGAGCCATTATGTGGTGAAATGACCCTTTACATGGTTAATGAAATTTCACTCAGACCCCCAATACCATCTTTGGCCAGAATACAGCATTTGCAACTTCAGAGTTACCGGTCCGGTCAGTTGGACTTGCAGTCTGCTTCCAGCATGTTTTTGACAAGCCCCCATAATTCAGGCCTGGATATGAAGCAAAACAGGGACGGATGGGGTGCTGCTGCTGTTTGGATCACTGGCTGTAACGCACATAACACACAAGCTTGTAATATAAAGCTGGACAACACCTGTCCCCCTCCAGCTCGGCTGTGTGACTGCACTAACCTGTCCTGTGTGACCCTCACCATGTGACCCTCATGTCCATGCTGTCTCTGGGGGAGCAGATAGGAGACAAGATCTCCTGTAATTTAAAATGAACCAAAGCTTCCTCCCAGTTTCTCTTTAAGCTGAATTTAACATCAGTTTATCATCATGAAACAAAAGAATAAAGTGGAACAAGAACTTCTATCTTCTATTTCTCTATCCTTTTAACTTCTCCGTGTTCCTAAAGTTAAGAGACAGATGATTTCACTGCAGCCGCCATCACTGACCCTGCTCCCTCCCCAAGACCGGACCTCCTGACATCACAACACTCGGTCTGACTGAGTGCTTCCAGGAGAAATAATAATGAAATTATGAACATAATAACGCGTGTTTGGAGGAGCGTCCTCCGATCCTCTCTCTTGTGTGAGCAGACAATCTCCCTCTTTCTCTCTCTCTCTCAGTCGCTGATCGAGCGAGCGGCGCGCGTCGTGCAACAACCTGCTTAATTAACACAATTTACGGCCCAAATCCAACAGAACCGGTCGGGCTGATTGGGTTCGGGTTTGGTCTCAGGTTACAACTCCAGCGCTCAGCCCTGCAGTACCACAAAAAGGCAGATCAAAGTTTCCTACCTGGTAAATGTGGAGAACACCGCTCTGACAGATGTGGATGCTGCGCTGGTGCCGCTGTTAAAATAACAAAACCACATTCCACTATAATTGATTATGGTACTCTTCTATGATGCAGAATCGTTTATGCCCGCATCTCATGCATCGATTATTTGATTATTTTCCTCAGCTCTATCTATCCTACACCTCCCGGTCGGCCGTCGGGGGTGGGGGGTGCACGCTGGGTTTGGGGGCCACAAAGAGAGGACTTGCGGGCTGGACGTGGCCCGCGGGCCGCCATTTGTGGACCACTGCGCTAGGGGCTGGTGTCAGAAGCGAGCAAATCCTCATTGATTCCCATGCTAAAAATACCAATTTCACAGCATAAATAAACATGTTTACAGCCTGGTACCAAAACATGTTTTTTGTTTAATAGATCTAGTTTACACTCATGACAACTCTGAGAGGGGGCGAATTATTTTTGTCACTCTTCTGTTTGTGTATTAAAAGCCTAAAATTCTGTATAATTAATGAGCATCAGACCCACATGACTGCAGAGCTAGATCCGGGGAAAGGCCTCAGCCTGAGCCTCTGCCTCGCCTGAAAACTTCCGCGATTTTCAGTCTCTCAACTTAGACCATTAGTTGTGCCGTTTGTGCATTCTTTTTTGGATATTATTTGTGCAATTGTTGGACAAAATGACTTGCTGTGGTATTAATTGCACTAATAGAGCATCCAAGGAGTCTACACTTCATTTTTTTGGTAAGTAAAATTAAATTTATGTATTTTAGCACAGGGATAGACAGCATTTTTGCTGGTTGTTGGTCTCCTTGAGCCCACCTCCAACTTTGAATGAATAGAAATTTCTTTCTTCAGAGTCTCAAAGAAGGGCAAAGAGTTGGCATATTATTATATGTGTAGCGTAGACAATCTACATACCGTAACTAGAATTTAACGCTGTGCTATTCAGCTTTGTTAGATTCTGAGAAAGATCAAACAAATTAGCATATGAAACTTATAGCATATATAAATACATCCACGGATATTTATATAATCGATAGAAGTTCATACACCAACTGGCTTGGTCTATATTTAATCCAAAGATTAATATTTAATTTAAGAGATTTAAAATTTATAGCAAAAGTTTATTTATTAAATCAGAAGATTTAAAGAAATCTTTGTTCGTTCAATAACCAAATATACACCATTCTGTTTAATTTCAAAGAAGAGTCAGGTTTAAGAAGTAAAGAATTTATTACTAACAATTTAAAGATGACAATTTAAAAGACAATTTATAAATGACAATTTATGACACTTTGATATTAAAACTTGGTATTAAAAGCAACCTGTGTCTGGATGAGAACTAAAATGAAATGTGTGTGTGTGTGTTGGATGTGTGAATGGAATCTCAGAAGGTTTCTATCAGAGAGAGAAAATGCATTCTGGGTGAAAGAGTTGCTTTGCAGCTGAGCTAAGTTATTTCTTAAAGAAACAGGCATACGGACGCAATCTGTCGAAAGTGTCTACCTCACCCAGTTAGGAGACCCCCTTCTTGGATCTGAGATGTCAGGAGGAGATGATGACCCCCAAGCACGAGGTGGGTAGAAGAACCTTAGTGCGACCAAATCGGTCCTGAGATGTCTCCGGGTCACAACGACTGATGAAACTGGTTGCGTCTCAAAAATCAATAACTCTGAAGGAGTTTTGCGTGAGCTGGTTGCAGATGGCGTTTGTCGGAGCAATTCTATCAGCGTGACAGAACAGCTTAGTGGAGGCTACGAGCGGCCGTCTCGATCCTCTGGGACTCTCGTGCCACGGAGAGATTTTTGGTGAGCTCAAGAAACTGAACTTGAACTGAGGAATTTTGGTTTTATTAAACATCAGGACACACCCTCTCAGAGATAGATAGCTTGTTGTTATGGAACAAAGACATGTGAGTGCAGTTACCTTTAACCTTGATGTCTGTGTCCTGCATGGTGTGTATAAGTGCACATGACCTTCTGTACACTGTTAAACATTACTGATGGTGTGTATAAGTGCACATGACCTTCTGTACACTGTTAAACATTACTGATTATCATAAATCATAATTATTATTAACCAAAGAATAATAATTCATTTCAGTAATTAAATACATTTATAATGAACCTTTGATGATTATTTATGAACCTTGTAATAGGACAGTGAAAAGAGTTTATTAAAAATAATTTTTTAAATCTTGAAGTGTCCTTCATCCTGCGGACAGAACAGCAGTCAGATAAAAGGCAGTCAGATTAAAGATGGTTTACAGCAGACTTTGTGTCTCCTGTGATGGATAATCTGTGAATAGAAGTACAGCCAGGACAGGTTGACCCAGCTGAGGAAGTGTGACCTTTGGGTCACAAATGAGGCCATTCATGTCGCTACATATGGTTGATGTTAAACATAGAAAGTAGGTCAACAATGGAGAAATTTAGCAGAAAATTCCAGTATAGCCTAACTAAACTTTTAGACCAGTTCCCTTTAATTAATTCCACTTTTGTTTATTTTGATGATTTCAGTCACAGAATTCTCTAGGCAAAGTTGCATAAAAAGAAACAGGTCTGATTTCAGTCAAATTAAACAATATCTTGTTTAGCTGAAACTGAATTAAATTCAAAAGACCTAAACTCCAATTCAGTCCAATTATAATACAACTTGACCAGATTCAATGAGCCAATTAGTAAAAACATTCTTGGAAATCCAGCAGATTGCATCAAATCAGATAAGCCCTATTGAGAAAACGATTAACCATGTGGCTGTCAGTTGTTCAAAACAATAGCAGGGCTTATTTAAATGCCTCTGTGGTGCAGCTCAGGTGTTTGTGTGTTTTAGCTCCCGCTGCCTGAAAGTCTCTTCTTCTGCTGCTCTCCAACTGTCATTTGTTCCCCCACCCCACTGGCGTTCTTCAGGGGATCTCTGCCTCGTGATTTTACTGTCCTTCACTTTCTCACTCAAATCACACACACACACACACACACACACACACACACACACACACACACACACACACACACACACACACACACACACACACACACACACACACACACACACACACACACACACACACGCGCGCACACACACACACACACACACACACACACACACACACACACACACACACACACACACACTGGAGCGTACTCCCAGGTGGTGAGTGGTTGCTTTGAGCAACAGCAACAAAGTCCCAAGTGTTCAGACTGTCACCTCTCCTTGCACCAATTCTTCATTCCATTATCTTATCTCTACATGTCCATCCCAATATCCATCTCAGAATATGTTGGGTTTTTTTTTCCGTTTCCTAAACCCATTCAGCAGTATTTTTGACTTTTATTAGCAAATTTCTCAGTTTGGCATCTAAATAAATCAGTTAATAGTCATCCCTTCTTCTGTCAACATACAAATCTCTCTGCACATCTTGGATTTTGACACACTAGGAGGACTTTGGATGTAAGGTGGCAGAGCTAAGGAGGAAAACGAGGAGATCAAACTAAAAGAAGGTGGTAAGAGAGTGACATGGTGAAGGAAAGCTCAGAGCGAGTGAGAAGCAGGAGAGGGACATTCAGAGGCTGTGGATATTCAGAGCAGGGTCCACAGGCAGAAAGTGACTTATTGAGTGGGGTATCTCTGCACCTCTGTGAGCTTAAACCATCTCCACACCTCAATCAACAAGAGCCCTGCACCTCAGAGACTGAGGCTTTCTCCGCCTCGCCGTTCTTTATTTTCTCGCCACCTGCAATCAGATATTTTGTTTTTTTTACCTCTTCTTCCACCTCGTCTCCAGTTTGTTAGGCATTTTATCTCTTTCTCTAAGCCACTTTGATCCAGATTTAAATACTGCACCCCTCCTCCTTACACCCTCTCTCCATTTTTGCCTTGTTTCCCTATTTCTCTCTCTCACCCTTCTCTCTCTTGCTCTCTCTCTTTCTCTCTCTCTCTCTCTCTTTCACTCTCTCTCACTGTGAGAAGGGAAAACAACATCAACGGCTGAGGCACAGTATCAGCACATGCAACAGGGAGCAGGCTGCACCTTCTGTCTCCCCACCTTCCTCTCAGACTCCTATTTTTCTCGGAGGAAGGTTGCACAGAAGAAGAGACTGCAGGAGTGGACCAGAGCTGGTGAAGATCTACCACAAAACTCTGTTTAATAGAAAATCAGAAGAAGGGCAAAAGTCTGAAAGACAGAGTTGGAAATTTTTGTGCTGCATTTTTGAAGTTAAAAGAAGATGAACAATAGAGAGGACATGGAGCGTTAACAGGTGGTTGAGACTTTAAGAATGAAGATGCCACCTGTGGCTCCAGTTTGATCCAAGAACAGCCTCCTCGATTAACTGTGGCTGCCTTCCCCGCAACACATCTTGGCTAAATTTTAACACTGATGGCGTCCAAGAAGAAGTGGGCAGAGCGAAGGGAGTTAAGAAGAGACCGTCCTTTCTCCACTCGGGATGATTCATCTGTTGCATCCGGAGCATCTGGGCCGGGCCGTTCCACCACCAGGGGGCGGTTCTCTGAGTCGTGGAAGAGGCTCAGCTCCAGAGGGGGCTCCACCAAGAGGGGGGCACTGAACTCACAGCAGCCACCGGTAAGATAGCTGGAGGATAGACAGACCCCCTCGACTCGTTTCCCAAAGATCAATCAATGATTCGGGTGCTGAGAGGAAAATGGGACAGGAAGGGCTGCTCCTCAGATGGGAGGGGAAAAACATCTGGGAAGATAGAGAGCACACAGAAAAGATGAATTTGGAAAACAAATTTGTTAGTGAATTTATAAGCTTGGTTGTGAGAATTTCCTCTCGCTAATGTCAAAAGCTTCTTTTAGGTTTACAAGCATCCAGCTGATGGATATAGAACACAAGTTACCTTGGAAACAGCTTTTTTCAATGCAATTAGAATCATAATTTAATTAATTTATTAGTTGCAAACTTGAACAAATTCAAAGTCAATCATCAGATCAGACTCGAACATTTGGACTAATACGTGCTTGGCAAAGGATGCTGGTAATGTGTTGGAGCGCCACAACAAATTACCTACTAAAGGCTGTTGATGATTGTGGAGTCTGTGCTCCCTATAGAGTCATCCAATAACAATCATTGACTGGTATTCAGATTAATGTTAGAAGAGAAGAGCTGATCTAAGATAAAACAAGAATATTTTATTTAAAACTGTAAGCACTGATTAAATAATATTTAAGTACTCGAAATGTTAGTAAATGATAAAGATTCTGCTGAATTCCCACATTCTACACTTTTGCTTTTCTCATTTCTATCTTTTTGGTCTCTTGCTCCACCATCAAGGCATTTAGTCGCTTCCATCACTGCACTTTAGTTTGCAGGATTGCCCCATAATATCTGCAGCTATGATGCTATCTAAATGATAAACTGAGGGCCAGGCTATTTCTATTTTTAAAATGTAGAACTTAATTGATGTTTATGGATCGAGTTCAGTGTAACTGAAGTCGTCTGGAGCTTACGGACCATCACACTTAGCCAATGCGGGGAGCAGCGCCTGAGCTGGGAGATGAGTGGGAGATGGAGATATGCTCCGATGGACATTTGAGATCAATTTTTGGTTCAAGGTTGTGCTCCAGTGCACACATACTCTGATTCACACATTTGAATATTTTAATATTACGCACCAACTACTTTGTGTTGTTTTACATCTGATGTGCATGTGTGTGTGTGTGTGTATGTGTGTGTGTGTGTGTGTGTGTGTGTGTGCACGCGTGGGTGTTTGCCTGTTTCTCCTGTGGCGTTTGTATATCTGTGTAATTGAAGATCAGATAGTTACTCTGGGATTTGTGTTGCTTGGATATGAGCTACTGCTACTAAAATACCTCGCCAGTCTCAAATGATTACATATTTTAAAGCCATTGTGAACATTATGTGTGTGTGTGTGTGTGTGTGTGCTTGTTACTGTGCAATTTTGTGTGTGACTAACTGAATCAGTGAGATAGAAAGTTGTGCAAAGAAATTGGAAAGCTGAAAGCTGGAGAATCCAATACTTATTGATTGTACTGCAGGAGAATTAGAGGCTTTTTGGTTCGGTGAGGTTGAAGATCTTTTACAAAACTCTCACTTTGTGTCTTGAAATTATCATTGTGTATTCTTGGATACCATCAGAATAACATTGTTGCATTTACGTGCAGATGAGTCACCAGAACAGTATTGAAAAATGTGATTTTCTCATGTGATTAAAAAAAAATTTAAATTCCAAAATGATATAAACATCCATCCATCAATTTTTTGGCTGCTTATCCAGGGTTTGGTCGTGGGGGCAGTAGTCTAAGCAGGGAGTCCCAGACTTCCCTCTCCCCGGCCACTTGGGCCAGCTCCTGAGGAACACCGGAGGCGGACGAGCCGCATCGCACCCGCACCGTCGTTTTAAATAGAAGCCATTATAGTTAATGAGAGTGGGCACTCGGGGAGAGCTACGCCATGTCCCAGAAGCACTGCGCCTAGGCGCTCTAGATAGGCGCCAATTCTATCTCGTGGCTATTTACGACATTGTGGACTACTTTACAACAGACATTATGATGCAGAGTGGCTTTACAGCACAAACTCAACCACTGGCACAAACCCAGCCACAGTTTGATAACTTTAAGCACTATTGATCTTAAAATTTTCTAATAAATAGCGCACTTACCCACGTCTCACAAACACAACGGTAAGTCTGATCATGTATAAACAATAGAGTCACTTCCCGCTTTCTGTTCTCAAGTCCCGCCTGATGTTGTGACTATCGCGCGACTTTCCAAGAAGTGCTCAGCGTCCTGTGTGACCACTTGACTTCTCAAAATTTCAGGCGCGATGCTGCACGGCGCGTCCGCTTCCGGTGTGCCCCAGGCTTTAGGCGTTCCCTGGCCAGCCGAGAGACATAGTCCCTCCAGCATGTCCTGGGTCTTCCTTTAGGCCTTCTCCCGGTTGGACGTTCCTAGAAAACCTCACCAGGGAGGCGTCCAGGAGGCACCCTAACTAGATGCCCGAGCTACTTCAACCGGCTCCTCTCAATGTGGAGGAGCAGCGGATCTACTCCGAGCCCCTCCCGAATGACAGAGCTTCTCCTCCTATCTCTAAGGGAGACCCCAGTCAGAGAAAACCAATTTCAGCTGCTTGTATCCACGATCTCGTTCTTTCTGTCACTACCCAAAGCTCGTGACCATAGGTGAAGGTTGGAATGAAGATCAACTGGTAAATTGAGAGCTTTGCCTTCTGACTCAGCTCTCTCTTTACCATGACAGACCGGTACAACACCCGCATCACTGCAGATGCAGCACCAATCCACCTGTTGATCTCACGCTCCACCTTTCCCTCACTTGAAACAAGACCCTGAGATATTTAAACTCCTCCACTTGGGGAAGGACTTCATCCCTGACCCGGAGAAGGCATTCTACCATTTTTTGACTCAAGACCATGGTCTCAGATTTAGAGGAGCTGATTCTCATCCCAGCTACTTCACACGCAGCTGCAAACCTCTTCAGCAAAAGCTGGAGATCACTGTCTGATGAAGCCACTGTCTGATGAAGCCTGATACCGCTCCCCACATCATCTGCAAAAAGCAGAGACTCAATCCTCAGGCCACCAGAATGGATCCCCTCAACACCTTGGCTGCACCTAGAAATCTTGTCCATAAAAGTTATAAAGAGAATCGGTGACAAACTCTCACTGGAAACAAGCTCGACTTACTGCTGGCAATGTGGACCAAGCTCTGGCACCGGTCATACAGGGACCTAACAGCCCGTATCAGAGGACTTGGTACCCTGTACCACCCAAAGGGCCCTCCAAGGGATGCGGTCCAACATAAAAAGAAAGTATTCCAGAAGTAATTTTATAGAAACATTCAGTCCAATTCAGTTTTTATGAAATATGCTAATATATAATCAGATCAATATTATTTATGAAAGTTACATTTTTAATGCTACCTTGTTGGTTCACTCTGTTATTTCATGCTAAACATTTGTTGCAAAACCAGAATGTTTCAACCTAGACTACAAATGTTTCACCATAAATAAAACATATATAAAATGACCACTACAAATAAGGTAACTGATTTGAACACATGAAGCACTTTTTCCTTTATTCCCCCAAGTAATTCCTGTGCTGTATTCATGGCTCTATTTGCATGTAAATTAGTGAATCAGAGAGAAAGTTCGATGGCAGAATGTTTCAGATTTTATCTTTGGACTGCTGCTTCATTGCACTTCATCATTTCTGACATGTCTTCATGCTGATGTGTATGAGGGCATATAGCAATTTTACACCCATCGGGGGTGGGGTGGGGGGGTGGGGGGCTGGGCTGGGGACAAAAATGCAACTCCTTTCTGCATGAAGTAGCTAAAGCTTGACATCATTTTTTTCAACACACATTCGCTCTTGAAAGCAAAATCGTTAGAAGGCACTACGGTGAGTCACACTCAGCTCATCGCTGTTGGTTTAAAATACAATCCTGTTCAGTTAGTTCATTTAAACAGGTTTATGCACAACATCAAAGCTTCTAAAGTGGAGAACCAATGTGATCAGCATCATGGTCCCTAATTGAAGAAACCTGAAGTTTTTTATCTAATGAGTGCATGTTTGCCTTTCCTTCTGTTGATCATTAATATATGCAGAACAGCAGCATCCATTCCACTTGTTTGGATATATGTTGCACAATGTTCTTTTGACATGCATCATTTTCACGCCACAAAATATTCTTTCAAACCCTAAATTTAAGTTTAGTTGTAACATCGTACAAAGGACCTGTAAGAATTGTAGTTTGGGTTAGTTTAAGCCTTTTTAACAAGCTTATTTTCAGAGCACAGGGACCCGAGGGAGACTGCGACCAGAAAAGCCCCTGCCCCCCTTGAGAGGCGCAGAGGATTGCCCCGGGGGGCCACCACCAGCAGCTGGCAGGGGCAATGCAGCTGCCAGGCAGTGACCCATGACCACCGCCAAGACCCCCAAGGGGCCCCACTCACAACTGCCAGTAGTCCACCCCCCGAGGCAACCCAAGCACCTCCAGAGGGGGGCAGCAGCTCCCCAGTCCCAGACACCCCCAGTGAACCCACCTCCAGGGAACATCCGGATACTCCAAACTCAGACCCTCCACCCTATCACCCACATCATCCAACAGGACTATATCAATGATCCCCCATCATCGCTATGTGATGGAACCAATCAAAGGAGCCCAGAGAGATTCATATGAAGTGGAAGCAGAGGCGGTATCAAGTGTAATATGATCTAACAAAATATTTCTATACTGGTTAATGCAAAGAGTATCTCTATTTTTCCTATTCATGATGATAGTTTTCTTAGCGATGCATATGGCAGTCAAAACCACGTGAACCAAAGATGTTTCAATCGGGACATCGTCCAGGTTTCCCAGTAAACAAAGAGAGGGGGAAGTTCGGATATGACATTTCATACACTTTGACAGGTCTTCGCATACAGTGCTCTACCCCAAAATTCCTGGACAGGTGGACAGGACCACAGTGTGTGGATGTAATTGTCAGGAATGTTGTTTGTGCAGTGTGTACAGGTGTCAGATGACACAAACCCCATCTTGAACATCTGATGACCTGTATAGTGTACTCTGTGTAGAATTTTGT